AATGGCACATGCGCTGTACTTTGCCTGGACACAGGGTTTGCCGAATTGCTGGAACTAGTCATCAAACTGTCACTGTCTGATGAACTTGATGCAGGTCTCTGAAAGACCGGGCTCGGCTTTGGATAGAGTTCCATATTAGAAAGGATCGGCGTTGGATCGAACCAATAATCCCCGCCCGCGCCGTATCTACTGTCATGTGTTGACACGGACAGCAGTGAATATGGACCATCGTACAGACTTGAACGACGTCCACGCTCAGCACCAATTCTGGGTTCTCTGGCTGCCTTGGGCTGCCACAAAGGAGGACCTTGTTTTGACGAAGGTTGTGGTGTCTGCTTATTTTGCAACTGGGGAATGCTGGTCGGCTCTTCCATCTGCTCTTGGGATTGCTGCAACTTGGTATTTGCGGGTAGTTTAGGCGCGATATCAGAGCCCGTACTGTCGCCCTCCACAATAGATGGACCCTGAGAAGCGTCATTTTGACTAGCTATTCGATCGTGGGCTTCGGTGCCTGGCTGAGTCTCGCCACTCACCGCTGTCTCTTCGAGGCGTCCGTGACTTGCAGAGCGTGCAGAAGTAGGATCTATCCCTGGACCATCGAAGAAATCCCAATTAGGTTCGTCGCCATTGGCTTCTGCACCGAGATTGTCATCCGGGTGCTCCTCGAACAAATCTTCATCATAATATGTCTGCAGCCCGCCTGTTGTTGGTTCGTCCTCGAAGTCTGGCATGTCCTCGTCTTGTGGAAGAGGCCGTTCAGCAGTACTGCGAGGGAGATTTGCTGGAGTCATAGACATCCCATCAAAGGATGAGAAGCCCGGCGTTGGATGTGTCATTCCAACATCAGGCGGAGTCGGATATATTGTTTGGCCTGCCCCAAAGGCCGGAGGTCCGAACGGATGGAAATGCACTGGATCGTCAAATGCACCCTCATCAGCAAACAGTGGCTCATCGTCCTCATCCACCACCTTTTGCGGGTCGGCTTCAAGCTTTGACGCATTGCCACCCGTACCAAGAATCCAATCCCACACAAATTGCATTGGATCATGGTTCCCTTGAGGTTCCTTTGGCGTGACAGACTCTTCGACGGCAAAGACAAAACAAAGGTCTACGGGCCAAAAGATTGTTTTCCAAGTAACCGAGTCGCACTTAATACTCTCGGGACTTGGATTATCTTGCTGATTTTCGTTGTACACGTGATCGACCTCCTCTACAGGTACTTCGATCTCAATCCAGTCAGCTTCCATTGCATCGATACTGGTGTTCATATATTCCTTGAGCCAAGTCGGTAGCACCTCTCTCCAGATCTCTCTTCGCGCATCAGAAAGCGGTGTCTCGTCATTGGCCGCGTTGCCAGACGTGCCAGCAAACCTTTTATGAGCGAGGATTTTTGATCGCGTTGACCGTGCAATTCGCGCAATGGGTGCGAGGTATATGGCCGTTGCTTCGGACTGTGTGTGATCATTCCAGTTTAGCGTGGCAGCACAGTCCGGAATACGCAAGAAGGAGAATGCGCCATCTTTTGCAATTGTCAGTATGATATGGCCACTTGAAACCACCTGTAGATCGATACGATAGAGGAGCCATTTCTTGACCCTGTCGAGTTGACGAACATCAGCAACCGACGGAGACTGCTCGACTAGATACAAATTGGCACCCAATGGCTGAATATCAGTCTCGCCATTGGGGACAAACTTGATGCTGGACACAATCGCAGTAAGAAACAGTCGGTAGAGCCGAGAGTGCTCTGGTTTCAGCAGGTCTGGAAGGCGGGCAGCGGTCTTGTAGGCGATCGTACAAGTGTTGCTCCGCAGGACGTAACCAAACTTCAACAGTAGGGTTTTTTGGTCTTTCGGAGCAGTAATGTCCACCTTCTTGTAGAAGGTGAAGAGTTGACGAGCTTCGACATCTAGCGCAGCAAGAATGGATGCTTCTCGAAACTGACGCTCAGTCCTCCGGAGTCGAGCAAGAGTATTCTCTACACTACTGACAATTTGGGACGGGTCCTGCGTCGGCGGAGTTGCCACCGTGCAAACAATATAGGCTATCTCGCCAAAATCGTTCTTGAGAGCCATTAGTTTCACTGGGTATGAGACCCGTTGTATTTTCCGCGACTCACAAGAGTGTAGACGTTGGTGGAACAGTTACTTGGGAACTCCAACGTGGTATTCATGTCGTCAACCGTTGGGTGGGATAATGGCTGCTCGTCGGGAACAGCAAGACAATATAAGTTGTTCGAGTTTTAGGTGCATTGCACGAGTGTCTTCCAGCATGCAAAATGGTTGTACGTTCAAGAAACCCTCGAGGCTATGAGGGCGATATTGCCACGTGTGTCGGCTGACTTGGTAAGGTGACCTGAGGTCGGAGCCGATAGACTTCAAAGGCTGGATCTCACAGGTTTACGTAGAATAACGTTCTCTTTTCCAAAGTGAGACAGCAAGATATGGAAGGAGTGGAAGAGACCAGCTCTACTGTAACACGGGATAAGAGGTTCGTCGTCAAAGGACCAGCCAGCATCAGAAGACTTCGATCGCAGAGCACGTGACAGCCCAAAAATCTTGGCGTGCATCTCGCGTGACCCGCTTCTTGGAGATTTCAAGCCGCCCCCAAAAAAAGAGTTGAAGTGCCACCAGGTATGAAAGTGACGCCCCAGTTTTGCCATTTAGCAGTCAGTCAACTAACAAGAAGCAGGTTGACATGTCTGCATTACCTATGATTTGGGATTGACATGCGAAACTCGCTTCTCCTACGAGCCCAGCATGAGACTAACCAACAGCACCGTTCCAGTCTATACGGTGTCTGGCTCGTCGACCTCTCGCAGCCTCCCGGAAGGGCTTTCGCAACAGCAGAAGCGAAAAAAGGACCCTGAATATGCCCACCGCGTCGAGCTGCTACAAGACTTTGAATTCGAGGAAGCCAGTCAGTGCGTGCGGGTCAGCGAAGATGGCGAATGGGTCATGAGCACGGGAACATATAAGCCACAAATCCATACTCATTACCTACCCAACCTTGCGCTTTCGTGGGCAAGACATACCAATACCTTGAACAAGACATTCATATTCCTATCCTCCGACTATTCCAAATCTGTTCATCTGCAAGAGGACCGCTCCCTGGAGTTTCATACACCTGGTGGATGTCATGATTCGCTACGAATACCGCGGTACGGTCGTGACCTTGCGTATGACCGGAGCAGCACCGAATTGCTGGTTCCAGCCGTTGGCGTGAATGCAAATGGAATGGGAGAAGTGTTCAGGATTAATCTTGAGCTGGGAAGATTCATGAATGAGTTCGAGGTGGACGTTGGAGGTGACGACATGAACTCAATAGGCGGTGGTGCTTTACAAGGAGGCATCAGGGCTGGCAGTGTCAATGTCGCTGCAGTCGCAGAAGGCAGCCACAACCTGTTGGCGTTTGGCACATCACTAGGCACCGTCGAATATTGGGATACGCGATCTAGAGCTCGAGTGGCTACCCTTGGTGTGCCTGCTGACTTTGAAGGGCGGCCGCAGGTGACAGCTCTCGACTTCCATCGTTCTGGCATCAGCATGGCTGTTGGAACTTCATCTGGTCTCATCTACCTCTACGATCTACGATCCTCACTTCCGACTTTGAAGAAGGACCAAGGTTACGGTTACCCAATCCAGTATATACAGTTCTTGACGCAGGGTGTCAAGACCCGAGATTCCATTGGAGAGCCTAAAGTCGCCTCAGCAGACCGACGGATATTGAAGCTCTGGGACGAGCGGGACGGAACACCTTGGACATCGGTAGAGCCAGCGGTGGACATTAACTGCGTTGCTTGGTGCAAAGATAGTGGGATGTTTCTGACGGCCAACGAAGGTCGACAACAACATGCATTCTTCATTCCACAGCTTGGGCCGGCCCCAAAGTGGTGTTCATTCCTGGACAATGTCGTCGAGGAGATGACCGAGGATCCAAATGATCCGTACGCGTATTCAAAGTCAAAGATAGGGGAGGTGTACGACAACTACAAATTCCTCACGCCGCCTCAACTCCGCATGCTCAACTTGGATCACCTCGTGGGCAAGACGAATCTCCTCCGACCATACATGCATGGCTTCTTCGTGGCTCAGGGATTGTATGAGGAAGCCAAGCTGATTGCAAATCCGACGACCTGGGAAGAAGAGCGAGCGAAGCGGGTTCAAGCGAAGATCGACAAAGAACGCGAGAGCAGAATCCGTGGCAAGAAGAAAATCAGTGTCAAAGTCAACCGGAAGATGGTGGAACGAATACTTGAACGCGAGGAAAAGAATGAACGACGTCGCGCTCAAAGGGTATTGGCACAAGGAGGCGATGAGGCTGCGGCTGCGCAGGCCACCAAGGTTCTCTCTGCTCAAGATGAGGAGAAGGGTCTCCTTGCAGATTCACGTTTCGCCAAACTCTTCCAAGATGAGGATTTCGCAGTGGATGAGACTTCCAGAGAGTTTCAGCAACTCAACGCTAGCACCAGGGTGGCTGCATTGGATCACGACCGAGAAAAGGGTCTGACCGCTGTCGAAGAGGAAGCGATCGACGAAGTTCCTGGGTCGAGTGATGAGGATCAGACAGATGAAGATGATGGACCCTCCAGATACAAAACAACAGATCGAATATCGACTGCCGATTACAGACGCCACTCGGGCAAGAAACAGAAGAAGAGGGGCGATCAAATTCAGGTGCGCGTCACGTCTTCTAAGTCGAACAATGCTGCAAGAACATCACACGATCGCTCATTTGGCTCTCGAGCTGAAAGCTTCCGGCCAGTCGAACGGACCAAACGAAGAACTGGTTTTGGCGAGGCTGTCGGTGACAAGGTAATATCTTTTGATCCGACCAAGAAGCCAAAACGTACAAACAGTACTAATGGCGGCATCACAAAAACATCGAGAGGTCAAGATCGAAGAAGTGCATCAGGGAACACGTTCAGGAAAATGTGATGCCCCTGAGTATTGAAAGAGGTCAACAAATGGACTGGGGTAATCGTGTGGTAGGCTTGGTAATCAGGCCCAAGTATCCATGGCATCGATTATTTTGCCAGACTGAGTTACGGCGCCAAAGATACCGCCCTCCATTTTGACGGAATCTAATGCGAATTGATGCAACTTGGGGGTGGCTGCAGCTGTGGCGTCTTCTAGGACGAGGCAGTCAAAGCCGCGGTCATTGGCTTCCCTCATGGTGGTGGAAACACAGACATCTGTGGTTACTCCCGTCAGAATCAAGTTTCTGATGCCACGAAGCCGCAGGATATGCTCAAAATCCGTATGAGCAAATGCCCCTCTCCCAGGTTTATCGATAATGATCTCTTCGGGCAGCGGTCTGAGTTCGGGGATCACGTCGTGACCCTTTTCTCCACGAATCAAGAATCTTCCCAATGGGCCGCTGTCACCAATACCCAGATGTCGAGGGTTGTTGCGAGACCGAAATCGTTCGCGACTTGACAAGGTGGAGAGGTCTGGTCTGTGACCTACAGGAGTCTCAGCAAAGCATTCTGATGACCGCGTGATGTCAGCCTCAAACCTTCTCGAGTGAAGAAGACTGGGAATGAGCCTTTTCGTGCGGTAGAAAGAAGGGCTTGAATGGCTGGGATGATGGCACGAGCATCTGCCACATCGTATCCTTGACAGTCAAAGTATCCGCCCACTTCACAGACTACAGGGGACGAATATCAGCGCACCAGTCCAAGCATCTTGGTTAGCAGTCAGCCTACAGTCCCGCTGCATGTCAATAATAACCAGGGCGGTCGTTTCCGGCGACAGGGAAGCATCATGTGGGTACAGGTAGGGGTCTGCTTGGACCTGATCCATGTGAGAGACTTCTTGAACCATTGGAAGTGAGGCGGTGGTATCAAATAACAGGAGCAGTCAGAGATTGACAGTCTACAGGAGGATTAAGAATAGAATTCCCTACGAAGGAGAAAAACCTTGTGGAGGTATTGAGCGGAAGAGCAATTGCCAAGACACACCTCTTGTGATCACGTGTTTCTGTGTTCTTGTACTTCCACGACTGCAGTCTTCTTCCTAGATGTGGATGTGCATGCAGTGCTAGACCCGTTCGGCATGAAGAAGAAGACCCGGAAGGACTCAGAATATGTACAAACAGAGGAACCCGAAGACAAACTCAATCGGAGAATTTCTGTGCACGAGGTCATGAATAGGCTCCCCTTGGCAGTCGGCTGTTGCCAGTGCAGGGCCCCGTCAGCCCAGTGCGTGTCCAGTGCATCTCCCAACCCCCCGGCCTAGTGTCGCCTAGTGCGCGGTAACCCGTTGTTTGTCGTTAGACGTGCCTGCGTTTATTTGCCTGCCCCTTCTATCAACTCTGATACAACAAAAACGGCGCCTCCACTGCCTCCTCGCAGGGACCGTCAGCCCAGCGCAGGCTCACCCCGTGAATACTAACCATAGCAGCAGCAGCAATAGCGACGATACGCCCCTTAGATATCTGCGCGAACGACAGATATCTCGACGACAACAACCGAACCGAGCCAACCTCACCGCCCGAAACCCGCGTCGCATCAATCGGAAACCAGCAACAGGCCACCACCAAATATCCAGAAGAGTCACCTCGACAGGTAGGATCGCGCAGCCTCCGATAAGCAATTCCGTCAACCAACACAACGACACTAAGCGACAATAACCAGACAGCCGAACGACCCCACCAGCAAAGGCCAAGATGCCACATACAGACACGGTCCCTTCGTCACCCCCTGGACCGAGCTCCTCTTTGGAAGAGTCACTGAGATACTACAAAGCGCAATACGAACTGCTAGAAGCGGAGCTTGCAGACTTTCAAGCCTCCAGTAAAGACCTGGAAGCGGAGCTTGAACGTGACATCGATGCGTCAGAGAAACGTGAGCGCCAACTCAAAGAGAGAGCGGCCAATCTCCAGTATGAGGTTGAGGAATGGAAGACCAAATACAAGCAGTCCAAGACCGAAGCGTCGAATGTTCAAAACACACTGCAAAAGGAGATTAGAGAACTCCGAGAGACCAACCGGGAGCTAAATCTGCGCCTTCGCGACACCGAGGTCGCCAATGACGACTACGAGCGCAAGCAAAGAAACACAGAGTCTTCCCTTGAAGATTTGGAACAGAAATACAATCAGACTATTGAACGGAGCGTCATGCTGGAGGAAGAACTCCGCTCCGGAGAACAAGAAAGAGAAGCGCTGCGAATCGAAGCGCAAAGACTGCGCGACGAACTCTCCGACCTAAAAATCGAGACCGACATCACCAAAGAGAAGCTGCAAAAGGCCGTGGACCAACTAGCCCGTCGGGAACAGCACCTCTCATTGCAGCCCGTTGCAGTGTCTGCTTCTCCGCGCTCAGAACTGTCCCCGACGACAACGAATGCTTCGTCGCCTACCTTCGACACCCCTCCACCGAAGGCAGGTTCCTCCTCTGGATTGTCAGACACCCCAACTCCTCCATCCCCTCCAATCTCGGACAAGTCGGGTCAAATCGCCAAACCTTTGGCAACACCAGGGATCCCCAGAAAACGACCGTCTCTGCCGACATCTCGCCCATCTACTTCAGGATCTACCGCCCCGAAACCTGCCGGTCATGCTCGTGGCCCTTCAATAGCAGCATTGGCAAGGACAGCACCTTCGTCATCGTTTCGGCAGAGCTTGTCGAGGCCCGGAAATGTACCGCAACGGCCGTCAGGGCTCCCTCAATCCGCATCTATCATCCATCTCAGAAATCTCCGCGGCAAAATCGCGACATTGGAAGAAAGGGTACAAACTGCTCGTTCAAAACTTCCGGCTCCTGTACGCACTCCACCCCGATCTTCACCTCGAAGTGGCTCTGCACTCGGTAATCATAATCATATCCCTGCATCTGTCACAGTCCGCAGTCGAAAACGGACGGGCGGCAGTACGATTAGCGGGAATGATTCTTTAGCGGAGAAGGTGCAGGAGACGCCATCGGTTCCCAGGACGAAAGCAAGTCGAACCTCGTTAAATCAGCAACAATCTCCCACAAGAGCCGAATTTTCGATACCTAAACCAAAGACCAGTCGGCCGTCACTAAATCAGCGGCCTTCTTCTCCGACCAGGGGCGACATGGCCGCCCCCCCTCTTCGCCCAGCTTCACGAACGAGTGGGCTCACATCGGCACGGTCTTCTTTCGCGCCGTCACACAGCCGTCCAGGAAGCCGGGCGAGTGTCTCTGGCTTTCCCCGAGCGCCTCTGGGTAGTGGTATAGGGTCCAATTTCGCGCCCAATGCATCCACAGACCGAGTTCGGCCAAAAAGCAGCCTCAGTAATTATGGAAGCGGATACGATGGCACCATGGACGAAGAGAGCGAGAACAGTTTTGTTGGCGGGGACAATGAGAATGGAATTACCCCGACGCCCAGGCGGGCCACCTTTGCTCGAACACGTACTAGTGATGTGGGATCTAACATTCCCAGTCCGACCAAACGGGCCAGCATTGGTGGGACAGCGAAACTGCCCAAGCGACAGAGCATGGGCCTGCACGGGAATTTGACGGGGCCAGGCTTGAATAACGTCCAGGAAGGGTACGATGTCAATGAGACCTTTTGAGTATGAATTGATCCCGGACGGATTGTCCAGGTTTTGGAATAGGCCGAGACACCTGCTGACAAGCAGTTATGGTGATGATGGTATGAAACTTGAACAGCGTTGGAAACGAGCACAGAGATAGTCTTAGTGCCAGCCTTTTGCGTGCGGCACATCAGATACAACGGGCACCCAACGTTGATTATGATACCCTCGTTCGTTGCAATGACATTGAGTTGGAAAGTTGGACATTGCTGAGGATCTGTTTGCGGGAGTCTCAGGTCCTTTGTCGGTGTGATGACCTCGTTCCCAATCCCCAGCCCTCGGTCCCCGTCCTTGAACTCACTTCCTCACAGAGTATAGCCAGTCTTCTTGACCGCCCTGGTATACGCCTCCCGCTGCTTGATGCCGTGCAACCACCTCCGGACATTGGGCCAGTCGTGCGCCGCGCCGCCCTGGGTGCCCAAGTCCCGGGCGAAGATGAAGTCGACGCTGAATCCCATCATGATGTCCGCGGCCGAGATGGTGTCGCTATCGTGGTGGGCCCCCACGCCTCTGCTGTCGCCTTCGTCTTCGCCGCGCCTCACCAGGTACCGTCTCCCGTCTGCCAACTCGGATTCGAGCCAGTTGAGGTCGTTGTGTACGTTGGGTGCGAGACCCTGTTCCATTTCTGCGAGGTATGTGGAGGCAGCCTTGGGGAGGCGCCAGCGTGTGTAGAGGATCTGGTCGTTTCGAGTCGTGGAGTCAGTATTGGGCGATGGGGAGATGTGGACGGGGACGACTCTTTATGGAGAATTGAGGGTCCAAGGACGAGAGAGGGGGAAAAAGAACAAACTACATACCGCGAGGGCATGAAGCATAAACGTCCCCTCGGCGGCGGCCATCCATTCCCTCACTTTTGCCCGCGCTCGTCGCTCTTGCGGGGGCGGGAGGAGACGGCCTTGAAGGTCATATGTTTCGCAGAGATATCTGCCATGACACCGAATCACCAGCCAATGTCAGTCATATGTGTAGCCTGTACTTCCTTTTCCACGTGCGGCGGGCTATACGAGAGTTCAGGCCGGGATTGTCTAACGACCGCACTGGTCCTTTCTCCTTCTTCCTTCCTTTTCTACCTCTGGTATGTCTGATACGGCCACCGACCACTGACATCGGAGAGTAGGAGGAATGTTGGGGCAGCAAACTCACTCGACAATCGCCGCGCTCTCCTGGACCACTAAATCCCCATCCCTGATCACGGGGCTCTTGCCCATCCTCGTCGGGATCTGGCTCTTGAACTCGTCGGGCGCGAGGCCGTTGGACGCTCGTGGCGACGACACCAGGTTGTACGGCAGGTTGAGTTCCTCGAGGAGCCAGGCGATGCGGATGGCGCGCGAGGCGCCCAGGAAGAAGAGCGTGATGTCGGGGGTGAGGGTGTGGTCGGACATGGTTATAAGGCAAGACGAGACGAGGAAAGACGAAAAGTTATCAAGGAAGGAAGGAGAAGAAAGGAAATCCTGAATGTACAGCTTGGTGGTATCTGAAAGAAAAGAACTTGTTGAGATGTATACGGTGACGAAGTACTCGCTACGGTATAGAGATGAGTTACCCTCTACCGACCTCGTCTTTTCCTCAAACCCGGGATTCGTAGACGCCGATGAAGGCAGCTATACAAGTTGATGACTCAATGATCCAGCCTCACCTTGGAGGGAAAAGAAGTATGAGGTAAGTACTAGGTATGCATGCCCCTGCCACCCTGCCCACCTCGGTTCAATGGAGTTACAGAGTTTCCCCTTCTTTACCATGCCTTTGCCAATGATGTTTAACTCTCCTCAAAATAACATTGTTCAACGCAATGGGCAACTGCAACAAATACTGTGGTACATCATTTCCTTCCTGATGCTGTGCTTTGTATCCCTGACATGCTGGACTTTTTCAGGACTTCGTGTATATCTCGAAGGGTTCCACATTGAGAGACTAACTCTCTATTCCTGCCTACGGAGAAATATCTCAGCGACACAGAGGCAAGAAAGAGTCATGGAAGTCAAAGGTCCGAGAGAAGCATGTTGACGGCCTTATTCGCCTCACCCGACTTTGTGACGATGGACTGACAGTAACGACCCCATTGCCGTCCAGTGTGAGATTCTGAATGTACGAGCAAGCATCTTATCCATTACAGACCTCTGGCTCTGAATGCAACTCCTGGATTCTGTCAATTTGGGATAATGTCACGGCGGCAGCTCGACTTTTTTTGGCAGGGTAGAACGTGGAAGGAGGTGAAAGTGACAGCAAGTGGCTACTGCAGTCA